TGAACCCCCCTCGCCCCTCCTCCGTTCCCCATGCGTGCGTCACGGCAGCTCAACTAGCCAGCGCATAATTCCGCAAACGCGCGTGGGCCTCGCCGCCGTGCATCGGCGAAGTGCGATGTCGACCTGTGCAGCAAGACGTTCCACTGCATGTTCGACAAGGGTACCGTATGGAAGCATACGAGGGGGGGCGCCCATGCGCATTCCTGCGATGTGGGGGGCCGCCCCTGTATCATCTGGATGTGCAAAAGTGACGCTGCACACGGGAAAAAACAGATGGAAATCTGCTCGTGAAGCGGCGACAGCCACAGGCCACTGGCCGAACGCCTGCCACCGCTGACGCACTACAAGAACCCCTCACTAATCCGTTTTGACGGCGCATTCGGCTCCTCCTGGCGCTCGGGGCCGCTCGCAACGCTAGACCTCGCAGCCGCGGCGGCGTCGCTCATCTGGGACAGGCTGCCGGCGATTATCTTCGGGTCCTCTCAGACCGCTTCGAATGGCAGGGTACAATGAGCAACGTGCAGGATGAAACCGCAGGATCCAACACTGGACATTCTTCACTATTCCGTAATCCCCCTGTTTGGCATCAAGTCCCTTTTGCATTTCTTTCGGTGCCTTCTTCCCCCGTAGGACACCTCCCTCCGTCATGTATCCTTCATCTTTTCTTCTGCCCCATCCTTCCTCCGTATTTCCCGCCCTCCTTGTGTCGTCCTTCCTTCTTCCCTCCTTGCTGGCCCTTCTCCTCGCTGTCTTTTCCCATCCTTCCTTTTCTCATTGATATGTCCCCCAGCCCCTTTTCAACAAGGATGCCCGTCTCCGCCGTCGGGGCCGAGCCGATCTCCTGGGCGATCTGGGTCGCCATGGCCTCGAACCCTCCAGGCGGCAAGCCTGGAGATGCGCCGTGCCAGCTCGCCCACTTCTGGCGTTCCTCGCTGGGCTGCAGTTCGCTCAGAGTTCGTTCAGAGCCCGATCAGACAAGCAACCAGAAGAATAAAGAGAAATATCGAGAGGGAAAGAGGACAGGAGACAACACCTAACACAACAAGGGGAAATACATATGGAACATCAGAAAGCGAATGAGTTCATAAACCCTAATCTCCTTCATCGCACCAGCGAGGGCGCCACGCTTCTCCCCGCCCTCGAATCCAAAACTGACGCCGTCCTGGAAGCCCTGCGCGTAGGCACTGTGCCACACCGCAGATTCGCTGGACGTCCGCGCTTTTGTCACCACTGCCGCTGTTGCACCCGTTGCTGAGCCCGTTGCTGCTGCATCTGATGGGGCCGCTGCGTCCGCGGAGGGCGCCGCCGCCGCTGCATCTGCTGCTGCTGCCGCCCCCGCTGCATCTGAGGCTGAGGCTGCAGTTCGTTTTGGGCGCTTCCTTTCCGGAGGACTGGGAGTCTTTGGGGCCCTTGGCAAGCCCTGGGCCTTGTGGTCAGCTGGCGGCGGCGCGGGCGGCGCTGGCACAGGCGCTGGTGGCGGCGCCTCTGCTCGCCCGCCACGCTGCCCATTTGACAGAAGCCAAGTCGACGTTGGCCGCGCCAGCGCTGGGGGCGGCGGCGCTGGGGGCGACGGCGGAAACTGCGGAACTGCCCAGTGCAGCTCACCGCGCGGCTGCCCGAACTGTGGTTGCGGTGGCGGATGCTGCGGACATGTTGGCTGCAACTCCACAATCAGCCGCGCTGATTGTAGTTCTGGTGGTGGCGGATGCAGCGGGGGCTTCGGCTGCCGCTGATCGCGCTGGCTCGCTTTCTCTGGTCGAGGTGCCTGTTGTCTCCGAGGCGATGGCTGCAGCGATGGTGCCCTGTGGCAAGGCGCTTTCTTTTCTCGTATCGGCTGTCGCTGCGGAGCCACTGGCTGGGGTTGGGGTTTCTGCTGCTGCGCAAGTGCTCGCTGTGGCTCCGGGTGTGGCTGTGGCTTCGCTGTCTGCGGCTGCGCCGAGCGAGTGCTCCCAGTCGCTGCAGACGACGCCCACGGGCCCCGGTTCTCATCGCCGTCGGCAGCAGCAGCGCGCGGCGGGAGTGCTTGCGCATCGGCAACGGCTGCCGAAGCCGACGCCGACGCGGCGCCCGGCGCCGCCCCATCGCCCATGCGTCGCTACTCCCGCGGGGGCCAAAAAAAGGCGCTCCTCATGGGCTGCGCGCTGGAGACACAACGGTTTCGGCATTGGGAAGTTTCTGAAGGGGGACCTGCGTCGAGCATGGCGTCGTGACACATCAGCGCTTGCCGCGCAGAAGACACAAAAAAAACGCACGTGCTTTTGTTTTACTGGTCTCGCAAAGTCCACCGCCGATCGCTGAGACCTCCGCGCGCTGCGAGATCATTCTCGCGCGCCCCCCCCCCCCAGGGCCCATGGGGGGAGATCGCTCCCCAACGCAGGCCGCGAGGCGCGATTATCCCGGCGCAACCTTGGAATGGACTGCGGGGGCGACCCTGCCATCGGTAGTTGAAGCCACAGCAGCACTGGAACAATCCTGCAAGAAGCGCATGGTTTTCCTGAGGCGCGGGAAAGGGGAGCCTCGTTGCCAAAGGAGCAGCCGCCGCGCGAAACGCGCCCTTCCTCGCGCCCCTGGAACAGCCGCATGCAGAGCACATTGCCACCCCAGACCGCAAGACACGATTCTCTCGGAGCAACTTTGGAGTAGACTGCGGAAAAGCCGCATTCATCGGAACTTGATGTCGCAGGGCACCCGATCACCCCAACGAAACTCGCATGGACGGTCTTGTCGGAGGAAGGCCTGGCTGCGAAAGGATCTTGCGCCGAACGAGCGTGACCGTCCTCAAGCCCCTACCACGACCGCATAGAGAATGCGCACTCACCACCAGGCCGCAAGGAGCGATTATCCTGACGCGGCCATTGGGTTTGGACTTGTTTTGATTTGGTCTCGATCTGTCCGAAGCCTCCATCCAAAGCGCCTCCGAGGATGACGCCCTCCAAGAGGCACCCCCGTTGGACCGGAGGAAACAAAGAACGCTCGCGGTGTTTTTACTGGCTTCAGAACCTCCACCCTGCGCGGTGGGACGTCCGCGCGCTGCGAGATCATCCTCGCGCTGCCGTTGTCGGAGTCCTCTTACAATGCTGCTGCTAAGCAGAGACAGAATCTGCATCACTAATCCCTCCTCCTTTTCTGAACCACCTCATGCCTCCTCCTTCCCCCATACTTGCGCCGCAGCAGCTCAACTCGCCGACGCTTGATTCCGTGCGCGCGTGAGCCTCGCCGCAATGCGTCGGCGACGTCCGATCTGCACCTGTGCTTCAAGGACGTTGCATTGTATCTTCGACAAAGAAAACACACAAGCCAGCATATGAGGGGGACGCCCCTACGCATGTATACATGTATATATAAATACGTGTATACATGCACGCATCTGTATATATATATATATCTATATATATACACTTGCGTTGCGGGGGGACGCCCCTGTATCATCTGGATTATATCTGCGCATGCCCGGCGCGCGCAAAAACTAATTGAGATCTGCTCGTGACCGCTGTCGCTGGCGCCTCATCATCATCCGCTGTAGCTGGCGCCGAATGAACACACCACGAGCCAATTCTTGAACCCAAAAACACGCTGTCGAATGGCACCGCGCAGTGCCACCTCTGTGCACGCATGCCTGCCCATGCTATGTACGCGTGTGTGTACAATATAAGATTGCATGTGCTTCTGTATATATACACATATGTTTGTGTATATATATACACGATCATTAATACATACAAACGTACCAAGTTGCTGAGGGTGGACCTGATGCGAGGCCGCAGCAACCGGCGGCAATTTGGCGCGGCGACATGGGGGGCCAGTGCACAAGAAAAAACCACGCGCGAGATAGCGAGAGCCAGATTGTGAATGCTGCACGGACCCCCCCCCCACCCAAGGCCTTCCCAGATATCCCAAGGGGTCGGCGGTGTGGCGTAAGCCCATGAATCAAACATACGTCGCTGAATTGGGGTCGGCGGCAGAGGCGGCAGCCTTTCGATATGATGTGTTCCGTGATGGTGTTGCCGGCCCTGCTCAATATAGTGCAATATGACATGACATGTTGATATGGTTTGCTGTCCTGTTCTGTCGTGGTTACTCCTCTCCTCCACTGCACTACTGCCGTTCCTGTATTCAAAAGCGGTTCAACCATGTTCCATGTTGTAGCGATCTGTCATGTTATGCTCTATTATGTCCTCTTCTGTTGTCGACGGGCTGGCGTGACGTCGTGACAGCTGTGACGTTAGATGCGTCGTCTGTTGCGATGCCCCTCTTAACCTATAGGTTGAGTATGCAGTGCTGTGCTCATAGCTGTCACCATATGGATGGAAACGATATGGTATGATCTGCGTTGCGGCACTATGGTTTTGAATGACATGCTCACGAATTATGCTATAATATGCTCCGTTCCGTGATGCTGTTGACGGCTCGGCTCGGTACAATTTGTTATGATCTGCCCTGCTAAGATTTTTAGCAATGCTCTGGTACCTTGCTGTGATAAAGTTTGTGATGCTGTGCCATGATCTGATGTGTCCTACCATCGTGGGTGGTGTTACGCTCTGATAGATTAGCTTATGTTGTGGTATGCCGTTTTATGTTAGATCGTGTTATGTTATGCTATTGAATGTGATGCTATGTTCGTGGACGGCCCGCGACATGCTAGTATGTGGCGATATGCGATACTGTCACGTTATGCTATGTTATGCGATGACATGCAATGGTATGGGATGTTCTGCCAAGGTGTCTGATGGTTTCCTCGGCTATACTATGTTGTGTTAGGCCGCCTTCTGTTATCCCATGCTTTGATATGATGTGTTATGTATGTGATGGTGGGTCATGCTCGTCGTTGGCATGATGTTGCTATGATATGATCTATCATGTTATGACATGATCGTGTTATGTTATGTTATCTTCGCGTGTGACATGTTGTGTTATAGCGTGTTCGCCACTATGCTCTGCTGTCGTCGAATGATATGTTTGGTGACGCTGTGTCATGACATGCTATGTTATGACCATGTATCTTATATCATGCTCGGTTATGTTACAGTATGTTGTGTGATATGTATGCAGGGTGGGAGTGGCCAGGAGGTCTGTTCTTAACATCTAACGACCCTTGCCTGTCCAAATGGGAACAACGACCTTCGAACCGTGTGGGGTGGAGACGGAGATGCAATCCCGTGTCCATGGAAGCGAATATTCACCATCCTACTTGCACCCTCGGCCGTAGATGGCGTAAAATCCTTCCTGACCATGGCCAAGCATGTACTTGGCCAAACATCTGGATGCATAGAAAAACCGCCTTCTGCGGATCCGTATCCCCCTCCTCGTTCTGTCCGCAATCCACGTCACCTGCCATCCCCTAAATTCTTACCAAATCCAATACCATGTTGGCATATGCCAGCGAAATTTCAGGTCCGGGATGTATCCCGTCGCAATACAAGTCTTCAACGGGTTGCCCTTTTTCTTTAGAGGATTGCATCATGCGGTCGACCATGTCATGGAAATGTATCACAGAATACTTGCCAAATAAGCGATCACCATTCGTCTGAGCTGCGATACACTCCTGCATGATGTCAATTATTTCAGCTGTCTGGCCGTAAAATGGCTTCGTCACCGTTGGCGCAGTGCGGAAAGCTACACGACTACTTGGGTAGGTAGCGGCGACGAGGCCCATGTGCGACTTGAGCCCTCCATTGCACCATTGTTGAAGTTCCTTGGATGGAATTGGAAATGAACTCTGGTTCGTCATGCTGATGTCCCCACCATTATGCTCCCACCATTTGCTCAAAGACCATAAAGAATCGTCCACCACAACCAAGTCGGGCTGGGCGCCCATTATGGACTGCGTGAAGATCGGGGCGTGTTTAGTGATACGCCACCATGCCCACTAGCATGAGGAGGCGCGGGTGACTGCCCAAAACTGCCTGGTAGGGTTCCTGTAAGACTTCCAAGGGTTGCCCCCTTCCGCCCACATTTGGCCACGTATACTATAACACTGTCACCCCTCCCGTTACCCTGGTAAATTACTTCAGGCACGCGCTTCTGAAATCACGATCTTCTAACAAACAATGGCTCCGCGCTCCCGAGGCATCCTCCTTTCCAGATTCTGTGCATCGGAGCTACCGATGCCACGACCCCTCGCAGAAACAAACTGCGCTCCCGAGGCCACGATCCCTTCCGTAAAACAATCGGTCCGCCCTCCTGATTGTCCAAGACGGTAGAGGCAAGCAACCAACGCCACAAGTATTGCCCAATCTGCCTCCAAGACGACTCAAAACGGCCCCAAGGATGCCAAATGTGACCTCAAGACGCCCCCAAGAAGGCGCAATAAGGCAATCAAATCTTCCGCAATAATACGCAAAGCCCGAAGAGGCCCAAAACATATACCTATACGACCACCTTTCCGGTGATAAGGAGGTCCGGGGGGGGGGAACAACGTCTCACTCGATCAGTCTCACTCGATCAGTCCCACTATCGATCTCACCATCGATATCACTATCGGTCTCGCTCGACCGATCTCACTCGGTCAATCTCACGATCGATTCCACTCGATCTATTTCATTCAAACGATCTCACAATCGATCTGACTATCGATCTCACAATCGACCTCACTACCGATCCCACAATCGATCTCACTATCGATATCACAATCAACATCACAAGCAACGCCAGCATCATCATCATCAACAGCATCGTCATCGACGTCATCAATATCATCAACATCTTCAGCATCATCGGGACACCATCCTCATCATCCCCTCTTCACCATCATCATCAACATCCTCATCACCATCATCATGATCATTATCGGGACACAACCATCGTCACCATCATCATCATCAACATCATCATCATCATCATCCGGACACCATCATCATCATCGGAACACCACCATCATCTCATCACCATCATCGCACCATCATGACCACGAAGAACATCATCAACATGATCACCATCGGGGCACCATCATCGTTAGCACATCATCATCAACATCATCACCAACATCATCATCATCATCGGAACACCACCATCATCATCAACACCATCGGGACACCATCAACATTATTATATAACATCAGCATCATCATAACCACTGGGCCACCATCATCAAAATCATCACCATCACCTCATCATCGTCGTCATCATCAACCCCATCATCATCGGGACACCATCTTCATCACCATCACCATCAACAGCGTCATCATCAACCTTATCATCATCATCGTGACACCATCATCATCAACATCACAATCATCAAATCATATGCTCATCACCAACATCATCAGGATCACCAACATCATCATCATCATCATCGGGGCACCATGATCATCATCATCAGCAACATCATCAACATCAACATCATCAGCATCATCATCATCATCATCATCATCATCATCGGGGCACCATCATCACCACCATGACCATCATCATCATCATCATCCTCATCATCATCATCAGCAACATCGTTAACATCATCAATATCATCGGAACACCATCATCATCGCCACCATCACCATCATTATCATCATCGTCAACATCATCAACGTCATCATCATCATCATCATCATCATCATCATCATCATCATCATCATCATCATCATCATCATCATCATCATCATCGGGGCACCGACGGGACACCAGCGGGACACTGGCGGGACACCGCGCGCCACCGGCCCCCGAGCGGGACACCGGCGAGACACCGCGGGGCACCGGTTGCCGGAAGGAAAACTTTTGGTCCTGCCGTGCCTCAGCTACAGGAGACTTATTTCTCGCCCGCCCACGCAGCTTCGCCTCGCCCGCAAGCACGGCACGCACGAACACGAAACCGAAACCGATTTCCCGGTAGAGGGGCTCTCCGTTCCACTTCGATGTCACCCCCTCACCTCCGATTTTACACTGGTGTTTACTAAGGCGGCTTCACCTTTTCGGGCTTCTTTCAGCTCCTGATACCCTTAGAAGCCTCCATAACGGCTCTAAGACGGCCCGAGAGGGTCACAAATAGTAGATCAAATAGCCGAAGAGACCTCCAAGAGTGCCCTACCGGAGCCCATGAAAGGACGGAGGAAACTTAGGACGAAGACGATACCAAAACACCCTCGACACGACGCGGAATAATGTGTCAAATGTTACGGCTCTCCCAAACCTGTGGATACGAGATGTCATGCGATACGGTTTTCTGTGCGCAACCCGAACAGTCGCCGAGTCGACACTGAAGGGCCTGGGCTGGCACGGTGGCGGGACTTCTCGCAAGCAACTGGATAATATCATGAGTGCTCGGGTGGTGTTTCATATGTTTTCCGTCAAGGGCTTTGTCATATAGCGAAAAATATGGCGGCTCGCCTGAACCAGGGTGAAATAAGAAAGCCGTCGTCAAATTCCCTACTTTACAGAATTGTCCTTCGTAAGGGTTCCCATGCAATTTCGAACCAACAGATGCACAAAACGCAATAAGTGCATTGGCATCCAGACTGCAACCTAAAAACAGAACTGACTTTGACGGGAGACTCTGGGATAGATATTCGCTCACAGATGCCACTCTTTTCTGTGTACCAGCCTTCATCAAATTCAAGCCACACTTCTCATGCGACTGTGGGGTGTGGCGCAGGAGCTCATGCGACAAATTCGCAAGCGCTTCGTAGGCTACGTCGTTGAAACTCAGGTCAAAAAACGAACTCGAACTATTGCCACCCGGAATCGAGTTCAAGTCCACTCGCAAGGCAATAGCTGCAGGCCATAATACTATGAGCAACGACACAAGCATAGGTCGCAATTCACTTCCACTTGCTACTGGATCGGGTGACGAATATACGGTTCCAAGGAGTGTTGAGCCGAGACGGCTGGATGATCAAAACGAGAAATATAATAAGGGCGATAACAATTAACGTTCTGGTGAGACCGTGCTTGCGAGGAACGTGTGAACTGGTACAATGGGTGGCGGCAACTCGACGCCACCCGACGCCACTTGAAAATTCACAAGCTTGCCAAAGATGCGGTAAGTCTATGCCGCCTGACGCCAGTGCGTTTGACTCCAGCTCGCTCGGCTGGGACGCGAATCGAAGAAATCATAACTGCTCTGGTTATCCTGGATTCCTAGGATGTCTCAAGCGAAACAGGCCTGAGCACTTCGCGAAAAACATCTAGGAACCCTGGGTTGTGAGAACGTCTCAGGCGAAACAGGCCAACGCATCTCAAGTCAGGGCATCTGACAGCCCGGAGTTCCAAGGATGTCTCAGTCGCGAGTATCTCGCGAAAGGCATCTTGGAACCCATAGGTGTAAGGACGAGTGAGGAGAAATGCTCCAGAGCACCTCACGTCAGGACATCTCGGAGCTTGAACGTAACTGGATCCCCACCAACACTCGGCTGGCCCGCGCCAGAGGTGGCTTTGGATACCGTTCGCTTGATTCCCCAAACAGCTGTGTTGACTGGGGTTCTGTTCGGATGTGCCGCGCTGTGCTGCTAGCTCTGGGCGACGATATATTCGCCCACACTGCTACATCCGCCGCCCTTCAGAACATACTTTTGCATGAGACATCCTCACGACTCTGAGCTCAGAGTTGCTCCGACCTGAGGTGGTCTGGCTAATTTCGCCTGAGACATCCTCTCAACTCTGGGCTTGGAAATGCCATGACGCATGAGATATCCTTGCAACTCTGGCCTCAGAGATGCCCTGACCTGAGGTGGTCTGGCTAATTTGCCTCAGACGTCCTCCCAACTTTGGGCTCCGAGATGCCGTGACCTGAGTGGTCCAGCCCCTTTCGCTCGCAACTGTGAGCTCAGAGATGCTCGGACCTGGGGTGGTCCAGTCAATTTCGCCTGAGACATCCTCGCAACGCTGACCCCAACGATGCTGCGCGCGAGGTCGTCTGGCCAATTTCGCCTGGAACATCCTCGAAATTCAGGGCTTCGAGATGCCGCGCGCAGGGTGGTCTGGCCTGCTTCGCCAAAGACATTGTCGCAACTCTGCGCTCAGAGATGCCCTGATCTGAGGTGGTCCAACCCGTCTTGCCTGAGACATTCTTGCAACTCTGGGCTGAGAGATGCCGTGACCTCGCGTGGTCCAGCCCCCTTCGCCTGGGACATCCTCGCTGGGGTTCCGAGATGACCAGGCCCGAGGGGGCCAAGCCAATTTGGCCTGAGACATCCTCGCCAGTCGGAGCTCACGGATACCGCGCGAGAGGTTGTCCAGTCAATTGCGCCTGAGACATCCTCGCAACACTGGGGTTCGAAGATGCTGCACGCGAGGTGGTCCGGCCACGCTCGCCTGAGACATCTCGCGCCTCCTGGGACATCCATGCGACTCTGGGCTTGGAGACCTGAAGTGGTCCAGCCTGTTCTGCCTACGGCCTCCCTCGCAACTCTGAGATCCGAGGTGCCGCGTGAGGTGGTCTGGCCAACAGCGACTGGGACATCCTCTCAACTCTGGAGTCCGAAATTCCGTTTCGCCTGGCACATCCGCGCAACTCTGGGCTCCCAGCTGCCGAGCTGGAGGTGCTTCCTCGTCGCCATCGTCGTCGTCGTCGTTGTCGTCGTTGACATCGTATCCGTCGTCGTCTCCGTCGCCGCCGTCTTCGTGATCGTCGTCATCCTCACCGCTGTCCTCGTCGTCGCCGCCACCGAAACAGACATCGTCGCGGCCGCCGCTGCCGAGGCCACGGCAGTCCTCGTCGTCGCCGTCGCCACCGACGCCGCTCTCGCCGCCGTCGTCATCGCCATTGTCCTCGGCGTGGTCGTCGTCGTTGTCGTCGTTGTTAGCGCGGCTAACGCCGCTGGCGCCATCGTCGTCGTCGTCGTCGTCGTCGTCGTTGACATCGTCGCCGCACGCGCCGCTGTCATCTTGATCGTCGTTGCCGCCGTCGCCGCCGCCGCTTCCGATAATGTCGTCGTCGTCGTTGTGTGGTCCTCCCCCTCGTCCTCTACCTCGTCTCCATCCCCCCCGCTACCTTCTCATTATTTTCCCCTGCCCTTCCCTCCCGTCGCCGGATTCCACATCGGGTTGACAAAACGACTACATAGGGAATCGAGGTCGCCCCCGTCGCCGCCGCAGCGGTGGCGATCGTCGTCGCTGTCGTCGTCGCCATCGCCATCGTGGTCGCCGCCGCCGCCGCTGCCTTCGTCGCTGTCGTTGTGGTCGTCCCTGTCCCCGTCGTCCCCGCCACCGTCGCCGTCGTCTTTATCGCGTCGTCATTGTACTCGTCGCTGTCGCCGCGTTCGTCGTACCGTAGTCGGCATCGCCTTCACCGTCGCCGCTGCCACGGTGCTCTTCGTCGCCGCCACCGTCGTCAACGCCGCCACCGCCAAGGACTCGACCAAGGGAGCTGCTCTACTCTGGCGCAACCAAATCAGGGAATGCCCCTCAATGCTCTGCCTGTTCCTTGCGCGCGTTCGCCGCTGTCTTGGCCATCGCCTGGACAGCAGCGACGCCGATTTCCGCGCGCCGTCGCCGCGGCAACGCGTCGGCTGCCCCTCAGCGCGTGCGCCGGCTGCCCCCCGGCGAGAACATCATTTCGAGAGTCCAATTTCCAACCATTCACCAGAACCGCACCGTCACAACCGTTCGTCGGGTTACAGGGGGGATGCGAAGATTCCTTGGACAACTGCCAACAAAGAAACAATACAAACAAAAAAACGAAGAGCCCAGAGTTGCAAGGATGTCTCGGGAGAATCGATGACCACCAAAGGTCAGGACATATCTGAGCCCAGAGTTGCGAAAATGGCCCCAAGCCAAGAGTTGCGAGGATGTCTCGGGCGAAACTGGCAGGACCACCTGTTGCGTTGCATCTCGGGGCTCACGGATGCCGCACGAGAGATTGCCCTACCCGTTTCGCATGAGACACCCTCGCAATTCTGAGCTCCCAGATACCTCGACCTGAAGATGTCCAGCCCGTTTCGCATAACACATCCCCGCAACTCTGGGATCCTATGCCGTGACCTGCAGTGGTCGAACCCCTTTCGCCTGAGACATCCTCGCAACTCAGAACTCCCAGATGCCGCGCGAGAGATGGTCCGGCCCTTTCGCCTGACGCGTCCTTGCAACTCTAAGCTCCCAAATCCCGTGACCTGACTTGGTCTGGCCCGTTGCGCCTGAGACATCCTTGCAGTTCCGGGTTCAGAGATGCTCTGACATGAGGAGGTTTGGCCCATTTCGTGTGAGACATCCTTGCAACTCTGGCCTCAGAGATGCCGCGACCTCAGGTGGTCCTGCCCGTCTCGCCTGAGACATCCTCGCAGCTCTGGGCTCAGAGACGCCCTGTCCTGAGGTTGTCGCGCCAATTTTGTCTGAGATATCCTGGCAACTCTGGGCTCCGAGATCCCGCGCAGCAAGTGGTCCGACCATACATTTGGGATCAGAGATGCTGCGCGAGAGGTGGTCCGACCAATTTCGCCTGAGACATCCTCCCAAATCTGGGCTCGAAGATGCTGCGCGCGAGGTGGTCTGGACAACTTCGCCTGAGACATCCTCCCCACTCTGGGCTGTGATCCAGCCCGTTTCGCCATAGACATCTTCGCGCCTCTGGACTCAGAGATGCCCTGACCTGAGGTGGTCTCCTTGAAACTCTTGGCTCGTCGCCTCACACATCCTCGCCAATATTTGCTCCAAGACGCCCTGACCTGAGGTAATCCAGCCAATTTTGCTCTACACGTCCTCGCAACGGCTCAAAGATGCCACGCGAGAGGAGGTCTGGCCAGTTGCGCCTGAGACATCCTCGCAACTGCAGGCTCGAAGATGCTGCTTGCGATGTAGTCCCCTGAGACATCCTCCCAACTACTGGGACATCCTCGCAACTCTGGGTTCGGAGGTGCTCGAGAGTCGCGAACATAATAATATGGGAGACGAACGAACGTAGTGCGTGCACTATGCATGGATATTGCAATGAGAGCAGTTGGCACTACCGCGCCGCAACAAAACCATACAAAAGAAATAACCCAAACCATTGCACACAACAATGTTTTTGATAATGCAACTGGCGCTCGAGCCGGAAGCCGGCGCCGCTGGCCGGCGTCGACTTACTACACCCCGTAGTAGCGCACAAACATCGTCAAGGACGTGCCGAATAATCACACCAGGTGACGCTCCCAGAGGGAAACGATTCTCGCGAGGTGTGGTAAGTATTGGGCCAGGTGACGCTGTGCGAAAATGGTATCGCTGACAAAGATGACGGTGATGCTGCGCATCATGGCCACAATGATTCTGTGCGACGATCGACTGCGCTGGGTCCGCGCTGGGGCGCGACGCGGCGCGACGGGCTCGACGGCGTGACCCCATGCGAGCTTCCACATCTGACGGCGCTGGCCTGCACTGGGTCCACACTGGGGCGCGACGCGAAGGCGGCGGACGCGGCGCTGACGCGTGACGCTATGTGACCTACCATTTGCAATGAAACGCACACACATATATATACACAGATCAACGCCGGAACCCAGACAACCCCTCCAAGATGGTAACAATAAGCCTCCCAACATGTAATTGTGGCCAACCCTCGGGCGGGAGCACCGTTACAAGTCAGGGATGTCGCTGGCGCTCGAGCGGCAGCACCATCCCCAATTAACGATGTGGTTGTCGCTCGGGTCGGAGCACCGTTCCCAATCATGGATGTGACCAGCGCTCGAGTGGAAGCACATCCTCAGTCAAGGATGTGGCCAGCGATCGGTCTGGAGCACCGTTCCCATTCAGGGATGTGGCCAGCGAGCACGCGACAGCACCAATCCTAATGAGGGCTGCGGCCAGCGCTGAGGCGAAAACACCATTCCCAAACAGGGGAGTGGCCCGCGCTCGAACTGCAGCACCATACCCAGGCAGGCACGTGACTTCCGCTGAGGAAAGATGACGAGCAGTCCC